ACTTGTTATTTGCCAAATCCAAAACAGCTAATCCACTTATGTTCATCCAGCAACTAGGAAGCTCTCCTTCCAATTGGTTATTCGAGAGATCAAGCACCTCAAGGATGAAGCCCTTAGGAATTGTGCACAAGGAAAAAATGGACCCCGTAAACATATTTTTGGAAAGTTTTAAATTTCCAGAATGAAAAAGAAATAATGGAATTGGACCTGAAAAATGATTATAACTTAAATCAATCATTTCCCGAGGAATCAACCCTGACGGCAAATTAGGAATTGTACCTCTAATATCGTTATGTGAAAAACTAAGTTTGTTAAAGAAGACATATTCCCCAACCAATGAGGTACTACATCCGATATACCAGCGAAAGAGATGTCAAGAATTTCAAGAGAATTCTGAGTTTGAATCCAATTTGGAAAATGAGGCCCCAAATGGCAATAGCTGAGCTGTACTGATTCCAATTGGAAGGGAGGAATCCAATCTGAGCTCAAGTTGAAGGTCAAGGAGTTATTGGATAAATCTAGGACTCGTAAGTTGGCAAAGTTTGAGAGGTACCTTTCGGTGATTGTATCTTCCAACAAATTTGAAGACATTCCCAAATATTCGAGATTGGAAAGTTTCTCGATACCTTCGGGTAGCCTTGTAAATTGATTGAAAGACAACTTTAATCTACAAAGAATTGAAGGTTGCCCAGGGCTTGGTGTGTGAAACCCATTCAACTTATTGTTATTAAGGTACAAAAATAACCGGGATGAAAATGTGGCAATAACTGGAAAGGTACCATTTAATTCATTGTATGACAAATCTAGTGTATATAAATAACTTAAATTCCCCAGAGATTTCGGAATCTCGCCGTTCAACTTATTGTTACTCAAATAAAGCCCCTCAAGAAAAATCAATTCCCCAAAGGAATCAGGAATAGGACCCTCTAATTGATTATAGGAGAGGTCTACCCATGTAAGATTTGCACTATAGTTAAACTTGTGGAATGCGAAAGAGGAAGTGAGATAATTGGAGGATAGATCGAGAATAGTGAGATGAGATAAAGAAGAATTAGTGAACATATCAAAGGAAGGCACTGGGTTGGAAATTTGACAGCTTCTCAAGTACAGTTCAAGAAGAAAAGGGAACCTTGTTATGTGGTGAAACCAGTTGGGTTGATTTAAAAGGTTAACCTCAGTCAAGTCAAGAACTGATAAGGAAGAAAGATGAGAAAGACACTCAAGGTTCTTGATTCTCAAATTGTTATAACCAAGGTCGAGAGTATACAGGTTTGTGAGGTTCCCAAGTTCACAAGGAACTTCACCAGTGAAGTTTGAGGATTTGAGTTTCAAGTGCCTCAAGTTTTTGAAGGAACCAAAGAATCTTGGTATTTCACTTCCTCCAAAATCAGTAAAACCCAGGTCCAAATAATTCAAATGTTGCAACTCAAGCAGTGCGGGGCTAAGCTTATCCTTCAAATATAATTGACCAACCAACTGATATGTATCCAGAT